GTTGAATCCCCTAGCTCATATATTTTTTGCTTATAAGATGAGGTGTTGGCTCCCACCAAATTTCTACTATACAACATTGTAACCTGCCACAATATTAAATACCACAACAACCCCCCTTCTCCCCAAAAACTCACACACATTCTATCCTGTAGTGTTGTCCCTTGATCAAAATAAATTATTATGTTGTGATTGTGTTGCCCTTGGGGTGTACATACCGTTCTTTACGTTCTGCTGCTTGAGTTTTATTGGAATTCCATAAATAAAACATACATCAATATGATTATTTTGTTTCTACAATTGATGCAGAGCATTTTAGAAATTGAATTGTTACCATAAGGAGGGGCACAAGGCAAACTATGAATATGGGGATCACATGTGTATGCTGCTATTTGGACTTATTCGGCTTGTAATGTCTCAGATACCAGATTTTCATAACATGGCATGGCTATCTATTATTGCCACAATCATGTCCTTCCCTATGCTTTTATCGGATTAGAACTTGGGCTTTTCCAAAGTAATTGGTATGAATATTTTTTTTTCTCAAAATGTGAATTNTCTTATTTTATATATGGATATAGATAAATATGAGAGAGAAAATTTTAATGTTCGTCAAACTCCTAAAATTTAGGAGTTGTTAGTTTTCAAATTTGTTTTAAATAAACATAACTATTAGGGGTATTTTGGACAATAAAGATTAAAAAGGACTTAATATTAAATAAATTTTTTTAATAGACTTATTACCAAATAAGTTCACAAAGGGGGACCGTCCTCCAAATTTCCTAAAAATTTAAGGTCGAGCCCGTCCGAAGGTGGGCTTATAGGCCAAAAGAGCTAAACACAAGTCATTATGAGTTACTATTTGGACCTAAAATGGGGTTTTTTGAAAAGGAAATTTGAAGGTCGGTCTCCCTTTGTAGAGTTATTTGGTGATAAGTCCATCAAAAAAATTTGTTTAATTTTAAGTTCATTTTAATCTATATTAATATCCTCATTAGTTATTTTTAATTACAACAAATTTGAAAACTAACAACTCTTAAATTTTAGAAGTTTGACTAATATTAAAATTCTCTCTCATATGTATCTATATCCATATATCTATATCTATATTTATACTACTTATAAATGTTAACATGTGTGAAAAATTTTTGATTTTCTATTTTACCCTTAATTATTACCATAAAACCAACTGTACCCACATATTTTCTTGTCTTTCGTACCTACTTGACTTTCAAAATATTTGCTAGATAAACTTTATCTCTATGACTTGGTAAATAAACTTTATCAAAATATTACCTAGATAAATTTTATCAAAATATTAGCTATATAAACTTTATCTCTATGACTTGATAGATAAATTTTATCTCTATGACAATACATTCTTTCTTTTGTATTCAATTGTACAAACTCATTTAAAATTCTAACACCACATATTGGTAATTTTTTGGTAATACATATACATATATTTTTTTGTCTTTCCTACTTATTAGAGTTCTAAAATATTTTGAATTCCTTCATATATATTTCTATATATATAAACTTTATTTCTATGACAATACATTCTTTCTTTTCCATTCAATTGTACAAATTCTACTAGAATTCTAATACCATATATTGGTAATTTTTAGGTGATACATATGCATATATTTTTTTTATCTTTCCTACTTATTAGACTTCTAAAATATTTTGAATTCCTTCATATATATATATATAGGATTCTGATACCACATGGGATCAAACTTTCCCGTAATTGTTGGTGTGGCATGTCAAGTATTCGGCATAATAATTGAGGTTAGTTTATTAATTCTTATATTTTAGTTTATTAAATTGATGTGATAGGTCGAATATTCAGCATAATTGAGGTTAGTTTATTAATTATTATGTTTTAGTTTATTAATTTATATGTTTACAATAAAATTTTTTATGTTAGTGTTTCTTTACTTTATTACAACCTCTCGTGAATCCAATGTTTCATTGTTCATATAGCTAATATTTTGAAAACTTGTTCAAATCTCCTATAATATTGACCTAATTATTCTTAATTTTTGAATTAATGGTAAATTCTAACATTTATTGACACCAACAATCAATCCAATAATAAATAAATTAAATCCAATATTTTTTGGGTATTTTTATATGTAACATGTTTTTGAGTATTTTTATCATTTATTGGCTGAAATTTATCAAATTTTGAGATTAAAAGATTAAGTGTCTATTTTCTTTGTATTTTAATTATTCACTTACCTTTACAAAAAATCATTCAATTTTATTACTCATCAACTTTGTATTGCAAATAAATTTAATAACAAATTAATGAACTAAATTGTTTTCACGTCGTGTGCATTGCTAGTATATATATATATATATATATATATACAATAATAATAATAAAGTAGTTAAAAAAGTTTGTCTTAAGCTTTTCTCAGCTCAAATTGCTTGATTATTATTGATCCGACAGTTCTAATGCGATGCGAAATTTTCCCCCTTAATTTTTTGAGCATGACTTTCATTTCTTCTAAAACTCTAAGACTCCTACTATTTGATGCTACTAGAACTCTATCAGATGCTTACGTCTCTCTCTCTCAGATCTCTCTCCCTCTCCCTCTCCCTCTCCCTCTCCCTCTCACATACAGAGCTTTCTCAGCTCTCTCTCTCCCTTTCACATACGGGGATGCGAAATTTTTTCCCCTAATTTTTTGAGCAAGACTTTTATTTCTTCTAGAACTCGCCTTCTAAGTGTTTTTCCTATTGATTGTACTATTTTTCTTGATATAGGAATTGTGGTGTTGTTGAAAATGTTTGGTTGGAATTAGAACTAAAGGTTGGTGTGGATGTTGATATGATGGATTGGTCCTAATGAAAGGAAGAGTAGGTTTCACACATTAATTAGTTTGAAATTTAGGTTTTTTTTTTATATAAAATTCTAAAATTATTGATGTTAATCTGTCATGTTTTTTTAAAGCATCACACTAAGGTTTTGTTCCGGTTGAGGTAATTATAAGATAATTTTCGTAGACTGTAGCATAATAACATGTTGTTTGTTTTCATAGAGATTGAATAATAAAACACGATAACAACTTAGATTGTGTATATCCATTTTTGTTCGATAATCTTTGTTTTTTGTTACACATGAGCATCATTAGATTTCATTGGTAATTTTTTGGGTTTTCTATATAGTGATCTACCACAGGTACGAATCATCAAGGATTACACAAAGTTGGGTATTTCTTCCTCAAATTATTGCAGAAAAACTAAAGAGAAGTTGATATGTAACGACATTCCTCTTCTCTCTTCTTATTTAAAGGTTCGTTATACATCCTTGAAGGTCATTTTGTTTTGTCTCTTTCAATAACATTCGATTGTGTCAATTATGATTATGATTCCATTAAGTTGTGATTGTGAATTGCAATGTTGTACTCTCTACTTGCAAATGAATCATATGGGTGGATATCCTTTTTTGACCATTTTATTGTTAGTATTTTGTCAATGTCCTTTTTTGACAATGTTAAATACATTTGGTGATTACATTTGTTTTACTTTTTTATTACTAAACACTTTATATAAAAAATTTAATCTTATCGAACCAATTCATTATGTGTTTATTTAAGTAGCGGTGCATCGCACTGGATCAATGCTTGCATTAATCCATAATTTGAATAGTCATCTTGTTTTTTAATCAAGATAGTGATATTGGCAATGCTACTAGCATTGTTATATGCGGGTATGTCATTGGTTTTATTTGAATCAAATTGTTTTTTGTTTATCAAGAACTGAGACTTCATATCTTTGAATTGTCTAATACATCCTCAAGTTCTGTTTTATTTCTTATTCTCTCTCTAAAACCCACTCTACATGTTGCTCTCTTTGAAATTGTGGTTTTATTATCTAATTAGTAGGTTAATTATGCATATTGAGATCACCCATTTCTCTTTTCTATGTATAGAGGTGCGGGGTCATTATTGAGGAGCCGGAGAAGACTGAAATTTTTCAATCGGGGCTCATTTCTTTATGATATATTTCCATCTTTGGGACTGAAATAGAACATAAATATCAAAGGTGCATTTAGTAATTTTTAGGAATCATTGAGAGATCACACAACTGCTCATTGTTATAGGCACTCAATAAAAGGAGTTTTTACTGTATCTTTTTTCTGAATTTTAGAGGAAATTGTCAAAAAAAAAAAAATTTAAAATAATTGTGGGCTCATATTGGGTGACAATTTTCATTAGTTTTTTTTTATTGACTATTTTTTGTGTTGTGTAATGCCTTTGAGAATTAGTAATTCGTTGCAATTTTTTTTATTTGTTACATAGTGGTTTCAGGCACCGGCAATTGTTAGTATATATATATATAGTAACGTTAAAAATAAAAAATATTAACATTTAAAAAAAAATAGTATCACTTAAACACAAAAAAATATTAACATTCAAAAATAAAAATTAGTAACATTGAATATTAATATTTGAAAAAAATAATAGTGGTAACATGGTCAACAAAAAAAATAATATTGAATATTGATATTTCGAAAAAAATAGTAACATTCAATATTAATAGTAATATGTTCAACAAAAAATAGTAATATGAAAAGCATAGTAACATTTAATATTAAATTAACCATAATCTTCTCAGGAAAAAGAAATGAGAGAGAAAGAGAGAAATTGTAGTGATGTCAAATTTAAATTTAAATTTCAAATTTTAATGTAAATCAAAGATAACTGTTTAAGAAACTGATTTAATGTTAAAAATTATTTTTTAAGTCATTAGAAGGGTTTTTTAGAGTTTTAAAAAAATAGGGGATTTACCCAATTTTCACTAGATTTTTTTACAGATGGGCTTGACTCTGATCCGTTGACTAGTCAAAGTCCATCAGGTCTCGGTCCACAGGCGAGTTATTGGCTGAAAATTGTGGCCCGGCCCGTTTCCTAGGCCTATTCTCACAGACCACCTCCGACCCACAGAAAAACATTAAAATCTCACAGATTGACGCTCTCTCTCTCCTCCGACCTTCCCCGTTTCCGCCGGCCAGACTGCACCCCCACCCCCACCCCCATCCTCAGTCCACCACTTCTATTAAGTTTCAGGATTGTCAGGTCAGTAAACAATACTCCATTTGCTTAGCAGAAGTAAATTTGTTTTGTTTATCTCATCGATTCCTTCAAAATATGCTTTACGATTCTGTATACTTCTGATTGTTGAGAAACTTTAGTAAGATGCTCTTTTTGTTTGGTTACGTGTTTTGTTTTTGCGGTTTTGTGTTCAAGTTAAGCTGTAGTTTTTTTGTTTTTCCCTTTATTCCTCAAAAGTAACAGCGAGTGATCATCGATCGGTAGTAGTACGCATATTGTTCACCTCGTGTGTTCCTTTGTTTTTTGACACGAATTACCGGGACACGACCGTGGGGAGCAGCTCGTGTATTGTGTAGTGTTCGGACCCAAATGAGCCCTGACCCTAAACCCACCACTGGCGACCTCCCCTCTTTCATCTTCTCCTTATCTTTCGTGTTCATTTTATGCTTACAGACATTACTATCACTAATGGGCTGACAACGAATCAAGGGGACCTTGTTTATCAGTTACTATTCGTGTTTCCACCTGATACCAACAAGAACTTTTTCTGAGTATCTGTTACTTAGGTAGCACTTCACACATATGGTGGCACCCATGTGACCAAAGTTCATTATTTTGTGTTGGGTGGCTATCTTTCTCAGTTAATAGAATTATTTGATCAAATTGGAATTGGTTTTTCTATGTTGAAGCTTTTTTAAAAGAAAATAACGTCCAAGAATCCATTTAAGATTGTTGGGACATAATTCTTTCAGGAAAATAATCTAAGGAGCTGGCCTGTCCATTGTGAGAAATCCAGGCAGAATAGCAAGCTAAATGTCAACATTGCTCCTAAATCAAACTTATAACCTTGATCCCTCTAACCTTGGTGGTTATTAATCATGTATTCAGGAGTGCATAATAAGATCATCCCATAAAATATTTTTGTTATGTTTAGTTTGGACTTTTCACCAATTCAAGGCTTTCGTGGGATTTTGCCCAGAAAGAATGGGGACTAAGAAGTGAGAAGTCTGATTTGCAGACATATTAGTTTTTTATTGTTTTTTTTTCTTTTTTTAATTTTAAATTACATTATATTAATTTTTCCAGAATTAGTTTTGCTGTTATGGAACATGGTTCATTCCAAGATCAGTCAGCATCAACATTTTCTTTGACGGATGAGGATCATACACTCGCCAATTCTATCAGATTCACCCTCAATCAAGAGTCGGTACTCTGATTCTTATATTGCATTTTGCCTATTTGTTTTTCAATTAATACCTTTTGATAGTTTTCAGCATCGTCTATGCAACTGTCATTTGTTAACTAGAACTCTCCTAGTTGAGGGATACTGAGCCCTGTTTCTCTGGAAAATAAGTATCCCTCATTCAGTAAATGGAAACAATGATATTTTTTTTCTTATACGAGTGTGAAATCAAAAGGTTCATCTTTACCAGAATATTCATTCTTTTTTCAAGTAATATATTTAATTTTTGTGGGGAAGGGGATTTTTTTTGGGGGAGGGAGAGCGGTAAGAACAGTATGTGTGTGTGTTTAATAACTTTCTTAACACACTGTAACATTGTCCTGCAGTCCAAGGGTGACATTTTGTGGGTACAGCATTCCTCATCCTTCTGATGCTCGAGTAAATATAAGAGTTCAGACAACTGGTAAAGCTTTCGTTCTTTCTCTCTAGCTACATATGTGGGCTTTTGCAACTGTTGCATTAATCTCTGTCGTGGTATATGTCNAGAGAGAGAGAGAGAGTCTATCATTTGTTTGCCCTTGTGATGTGGCATTTTTAAAAAAGCGAGAACATAATGAAGTGCTATCTCAGTGCCATTTAGGAGAAGGAAAATAAATAGGCCTGAAAATCACTTATACAAGAATATATCAGATTTGGGTAAAATTAAAGCAATATCAATTGTTGTCCCATTTTCATTTGCTCCTATGGATGTCTTTTGTGTTTTGCCCAAGTATTCTGGCTGTAAATAATTGCAAATGTTTTCTTTCAGCAATACTTGTAGCTGTAGAGGTGAGGGAGTGATCCGGTGGTAAGGGCTCACTTCCGCCCGCCCACCCCAAAAAAAAAAAAGTCTTCCCCAAGTGTGATCATCTGAAGTCACTGCCATTTATTTAGACATACTGGCTTCAATGAGCAATAATTTTTGAACCGTCAAGAGAAACTAATACCACTTTATTTTTCATCACCAGATTATGCTCATTGTTTGTTGATTCAGTGAGATCAGTCTTTCGAGGAACATTCCATTTCTGAAACTTGTGTATCTCTCACTTTGTTTGGGTATTAAATTTTGGCTTCTGGCTTCCAATCTTACAGGTGATCCAGCCAGTGAGGTATTGAAAGATTCTTGCCAGGATCTGATGCTGATGTGCCAGCATGTTAGAAGCTCTTTTGACAAGGCTGTTGCTGATTTTATGAATGAACAAGGTCTGAAGGCCATGAAGATCGAGCAATGATGAGAATGTTACTCTCACATCTCTCCTATAATCGATAAATAACCAAAAAATATTATTTATTTCTTTGTTTGCTCGTCTAAAAGTTTAATTCAGCTCCTTTCTCATCTCTAGTTCTTGTACATGCCCAACAATCAAAGGTGTGAACAGTATTTAGCATGTCAAAAGAGAGTAACTTTATGTTGTTCCGGAGATGAATGACCCATAAGGTTGTAGTAAGGACACTCCTGAGCTACTGTTGTTTATGAAGTATTGGGAGGGACAGGGTTCTCAATTATGAAAGTCATTAGACTTTTGCCTGTGCAGAATAATAGGTGACGGGACACTTAAAAGAACTGATGGTTACCAGCAATGATATTCTTTGTCTCAAAGGATTCAAGAAACGAATTTGACAGTGAAATTTGACACACTACAGTTGCCAAGTATCATGTTGCTAAAATTTAATTGTGTTGCCAAATCACCCAATCAAACTTCGGAGGCCTCATTACGCATATGGATGATACAATCCAACTTTGTCGGACGATTGTCATCATGCAATTGTGTTGAGGCAAATTTTGCCTTCTAAAATTCAGTCCAATTTCAAAAAATTTGGATTTATTACAAAAGTAGTTGCACTTTGCAATTTTATTCAACTGGAAATGTACGGGTCATGGATTTTTTCTACCTCCAGGATCTTGTTAACACAGTGGCGATAAGACTCTCTCTCTCTCTCCCTGCGAGTGTGATCCTCTCTCTTCTGTCCAAACTAAGAATCATTCAGATCAAATACACTTAAATGTTAGAACAGCTTTATACTAGTGCTAAATAATGAAAGTGGGCTTCTTGATTGTAGGGCACCTTTAGTTGTTAGTAACATGCTCAAAAAAAAANCCCAAAAAAAAGTTTTGATTCAATTTTGAGTGATAGTTCTGACAATTATTGGACGTCTTTTGGGATCCGATTTTTGGTTTAAGAAATTGTCCAAGAATCTCATCTCTTTGGAAGTAGGTTGGCCCGTGGGGGGATTTCTTTCTGAAACACTGTTATTTATTAATTATTGAGCTTTCAGTAATGGTAATTATTTGGAGCCCGGATTGAGTGGAACAGTGACCTGAATTGAATTGGCCACTTGACCAAAAGCAAGTAAAGGCATGGCTTTCTTAAATCCATGGTGTTGCATTGAGTACCATTTATCTCTTCACGCTACCTTCTTGGTGTACCTATCATTAAGATCTACAATTTTCTGTTAGAGGAAAAGAAAATGCTTCGTAAGACGCATGTTAGCATGACATTCTTCATGTGTGTGTGTGTGTGTGTGTATGTGTGTGAAAGAGAGAGAGAGTCTATCATTTGTTTGCGCTTGTGATGTGGCATTTTTAAAAAAGCGAGAACATAATGAAGTGCTATCTCAGTGCCATTTAGGAGAAGGAAAATAAATAGGCCTGAAAATCACTTATACAAGAATATATCAGATTTGGGTAAAATTAAAGCAATATCAATTGTTGTCCCATTTTCATTTGCTCCTATGGATGTCTTTTGTGTTTTGCCCAAGTATTCTGGCTGTAAATAATTGCAAATGTTTTCTTTCAGCAATACTTGTAGCTGTAGAGGTGAGGGAGTGATCCGGTGGTAAGGGCTCACTTCCGCCCGCCCACCCCAAAAAAAAAAAAGTCTTCCCCAAGTGTGATCATCTGAAGTCACTGCCATTTATTTAGACATACTGGCTTCAATGAGCAATAATTTTTGAACCGTCAAGAGAAACTAATACCACTTTATTTTTCATCACCAGATTATGCTCATTGTTTGTTGATTCAGTGAGATCAGTCTTTCGAGGAACATTCCATTTCTGAAACTTGTGTATCTCTCACTTTGTTTGGGTATTAAATTTTGGCTTCTGGCTTCCAATCTTACAGGTGATCCAGCCAGTGAGGTATTGAAAGATTCTTGCCAGGATCTGATGCTGATGTGCCAGCATGTTAGAAGCTCTTTTGACAAGGCTGTTGCTGATTTTATGAATGAACAAGGTCTGAAGGCCATGAAGATCGAGCAATGATGAGAATGTTACTCTCACATCTCTCCTATAATCGATAAATAACCAAAAAATATTATTTATTTCTTTGTTTGCTCGTCTAAAAGTTTAATTCAGCCCCTTTCTCATCTCTAGTTCTTGTACATGCCCAACAATCAAAGGTGTGAACAGTATTTAGCATGTCAAAAGAGAGTAACTTTATGTTGTTCCGGAGATGAATGACCCATAAGGTTGTAGTAAGGACACTCCTGCGCTACTGTTGTTTATGAAGTATTGGGAGGGACAGGGTTCTCAATTATGAAAGTCATTAGACTTTTGCCTGTGCAGAATAATAGGTGACGGGACACTTAAAAGAACTGATGGTTACCAGCAATGATATTCTTTGTCTCAAAGGATTCAAGAAACGAATTTGACAGTGAAATTTGACACACTACAGTTGCCAAGTATCATGTTGCTAAAATTTAATTGTGTTGCCAAATCACCCAATCAAACTTCGGAGGCCTCATTACGCATATGGATGATACAATCCAACTTTGTCGGACGATTGTCATCATGCAATTGTGTTGAGGCAAATTTTGCCTTCTAAAATTCAGTCCAATTTCAAAAAATTTGGATTTATTACAAAAGTAGTTGCACTTTGCAATTTTATTCAACTGGAAATGTACGGGTCATGGATTTTTTCTACCTCCAGGATCTTGTTAACACAGTGGCGATAAGACTCTCTCTCTCTCTCCCTGCGAGTGTGATCCTCTCTCNGGACGATTGTCATCATGCAATTGTGTTGAGGCAAATTTTGCCTTCTAAAATTCAGTGCAATTTCAAAAAATTTGGATTTATTACAAAAGTAGTTGCACTTTGCAATTTTATTCAACTGGGAATATACGGGTCATGGATTTTTTCTACCTCCAGGATCTTGTTAACGCAGTGGCGATAAGACTCTCTCTCTCTCTCCCTGCGAGTGTGATCCTCTCTCTTCTGTCCAAACTAAGAATCATTCAGATCAAATACACTTAAATGTTAGAACAGCTTTATACTAGTGCTAAATAATGAAAGTGGGCTTCTTGATTGTAGGGCACCTTTAGTTGTTAGTAACATGCTCAAAAAAAAATAAATAAATAGCAATTAGCTTCCTGTGAAAAGTAATCCTTTCTAACGAGGTATTGATGTGCAAATTACTAAATCAACTTCCATTGTAGATTCTTAACGCCAGGTGAAAGAGAGAATACAAGAAGCCAACAGTCCAAAACTACATGAGATAATTATAATTNCTAACGAGGTATTGATGTGCAAATTACTAAATCAACTTCCATTGTAGATTCTTAACACCAGGTGAAAGAGAGAATACAAGAAGCCAACAGTCCAAAACTACATGAGATAATTATAAATATAGCCCGTTGTGTAACACAATGGCCTCACTGATTCCTACTTAAATTTAAGACCAACATACAAATGCAGACAAAAAGAGAATGGAGCTGCCCTTTATCACCTAAATCAAAGGAAGAAGCCACAGCACTCATTGAGGGATTCAAGGTAGTATATTGAAGTGAAATAGCCAAGAAATGACGAAGGCAAAAATCATGCAGGCAAACAGGAAATTCATGATCCAGCGGCCTTGACAGACACATCGGGTCTCAGCTAGATTCACAGGTGGTGCTGAAGCTGCTCCTGTAGCATTGTTTGCCTCATTTGTCTGCTCTCCAACAACATTGCGTACAGTAGCACCACAGATTTCACACGTTCTGCAGACGATAAAGAGTATGTGTTAATAATAAGTAACTACTGTGCAATTTGATGTGAAGCATGAGTCTAATACCCAACCAGATCATTACAAAAGTAATATTGCATGAGTCCCAAAGTAGTATAGCAAAATGCAGAACTCTCCATTTTCATTCCTTTGACATGTTATTTCAGTGACATGGTAATGAAAATTGAAAAGGGTAAGCAGACGCAGCAAATTTTATATCCGGAGGAGTGAATCTGGGAGGAAGATCGGTTGCTCAAACAAATCTTAAAAACACAAATGCCACAACTTCTGATAACACTAATTTGTTGAAGACATGCAGCAAATATAATCGCTGGCTAGTGATTTTGCATCTAAACAAAAACTTCTGTGTAACTTAGAACTCTCCCCTGACCTCTCGCACAAGAAGAATTTCCTATTATAAGAAATACAACTCCTGGAAATGCGACTTCATTTCCATTAATTATTGGGCATGAACTCATCTTGGGCCCACTTTCTTTTTGACATTCCAATTGACAGAAGTCAATCAACCATCTTACACAACCAATGCTTCAGCATACCATCTCCTGGGATCATCTAGGTCACTGTTCTACAGGTTAATTGCGACACAATGCCAACCTCAGAAAGTCTACGCCATACACACACAAACAGATCCACATGCATATAAACATTATATACACACACACCCCCACCAAAAACAAACATACACTGCAATTCCCACATAACAATTTTCTCCTACAGATGTCCCTTGAACAAAATTCTCACTGCCAAAGTTGTTGGTGCCAGATGTTATTACTTAATCATCATTGAATAGAAGGAGAAGAGAGACAGATTATAATCAATAGGAAACGAGTTTAAGATGTTGACACGACAAGGCAGTTGAAACTCGAAAACTACTCAAAATCAGTTTGGTTTGACAGAAATCCCTTTAGTCCAATTGGATTGCTCTACAATCAAATGTCACTACCTGTCTTCTATAATAGTCCTTTTGTCCAACTATTCTAATATCAGTGATTGCAAGACACTNAATCCCTTTAGTCCAATTGGATTGCTCTACAATCAAATGTCACTACCTGTCTTCTAGAATAGTCCTTTTGTCCAACTATTCTAATATCAGTGATTGCAAGACACTATAGGGAGCATAAGATAGCATTAACATATTCCCACATCAACTGATTTTCACTATGAAAACATGACTTATATAACTACCATCAACCGACTGTTGTTTCTGAACCTTTCAGCAAGATAAGGGAATCACATCATTACAATACTGAGATTTACTGCCTACTGGATCAGACCACATGCGCATTGACACAAAAACATGTTACACACGGAATTTGCACATCGTGGGGAGTAGAATACTGAATGCATTAGTCCATTGAAGTTTTAAATATGTAAACATGAACATGTACCATTTTTATAATCAACACCTGTTCATTCAGTCAGGTCAACAGCTTGCAGCACTTTTTGAACTAGCTCAATCAAGCCAAAGTTGATCTGAGAAGCCTTCTGGAATGAAATTTTCAAGATTTTTTTTTTATAAAACAAGATGAAGTAACTAATTACTGTGAGATGTGTTCTTATCCAGATTGAATGTTTGCATTCTATTGGACAGGTCTGTTTTATTTGATACCGTATGACAACAAAATGGTAAAAGCATAAGGACAATGACAAATATAAAAGAAAGTAACAGGGGCTGGGACCAGCAATGCAGCTACAAAGAGCTGAGGCCAATAACAAACAGAATACATTAAACCTATCATACAGGAACTGTCCAGATCCATGTGCTTGTAAAATGGAACTACATCAAACAGACCATCCAATTAAAATTAAAGGGGACGTCTGGTCCTACTGATCTGACTAATATTTCTTCTTCCATCTCCCAAGTTTATGCCACTGGTACCTTCCGGGAAAAAGTAATTTTTTATGCCATTAATAAAGCATGTTCATCTCATTAAAATGGGTTCTGGATTTAGGGGGTATAGAAAACTCAAGTCTGTGTCAGTTGCACTTTCCTGTGTACAGAATTTAAATAGGATGTGTAGGAATTAGAATATTAGAAAGGCTTATTTTTTCTCGGATAACATGCTTCTATTGCTATACTATGATATAATAAAAAAATAAAAGAAAAGAAAAGAAAAAATGATTAGGGAAGAATTCTTCCTATCTCAGAATTTGATTAGGGAAGAATTCTTCCTATCTCAGAATTTTCCAAGAAATTACTTTCCTTTAACTCCTTCACAGAATCAAACAAGCATAAACAAGTCAAAGATTGCAATTTACTATCCTGCATTTTTCTTGAAAGTTTGTACTCAGAATACAGACTAAACTACAAGATCTAACTGTAACAGTCCCTAATTCAATTTCCAGCTCCTTAAAACAAGAAGAAATAGGAACATCGCAAGCATGCATAAAGCAGGAATCTCACAGAATCCACCCTCTTTCGACACTTCAAACTAGAAAGCCCTACAAGTCAACTAATTATGCATCAGAAATTCAGAACTGATAATAACTACACTCTACGACACACGTACAAATAATCAATCAACCACCAATTCTGAAATCCACGCTAATTCCATTATCTAAATTCTTCTGAACTTAGCCAGAGAAAAGTGCTAGAGAGTGGACACCCAAAGCTTCTCACAGGCACAGAATTTACCATAAAAAAATCAGAGTTCTATGAAATAAACAAATAAATTTATGCAAACAGCAACTGTTTGTTTACACTAAATTCTATCCAGAACATCACAATCTAACATCTAACCACATCTTTATAGAGTTCAAATACTATCAATTTAGGGTTCAAAACTCACGTGTTACCCTTAATCTTGAACCAAGTCTCGGCACATTGCCTGTGGGAAGCACCCAAATCACCCTTACAGGAACAACCCAATTCAATAGTAACCATACCATCTTGATCACCACCACCACCACTAACTAAATTCAAATGGCAAATTCTACAATCTCTCTCCTCCTTACTCGAACGCACTTTCACCTCCAATTCACCACTCTCCAAATCAACATTATCCTCTGACAAGCCACGCTCTGACACAGAATCAAACTGTCTCCGAATACGATTTTGCGGCTCTGTTGAGGACCCGTATTCATCACAAGACCCACTAGTAGTTGAGCCCAGAGGTGAGTTCCCCCACTGGCCGTCAGATTCGGAGTCCGACAAACAGAGGCTTCCGTCATTGGTGGTCTCGCTGCTGCCGGCGACAGACGGTCTCCGGCAACGGCGGCGGCGACGGTTACGCCGTAGACCACCATCAATGCCTTCTATGTCAGTGTTGCGTGTCTCTATAGTTGTCATTTGACTATACCCAAAAGCTATAATCCAATAGTCAAGAGACACAACATGGGAAGGGGCCTTTGGGAGCTTGCTTGAAGCTTTTAAGGGCTACTAGATATAATGTTCATCATGAAAGGAGAAAGAGAAAGGGTGTTTAGTTGGTGATCTTTCTTTTCTTCTTTCTCTCTCTCTCTCATTTGTATTTCTTTTCTTCTTTAGTGTTTGTTGTGTGGGGTTTGTCAGTTTTCCGAGCAGCAATGAAAAGGTTTTTTTTTGTCCTCATTGTTGCAGAGAAATGATACGGCGAGTGGTGATTGTTCGAGGCAACTGCAGTTTCTGTCTTTTTTTTGGTTGTGTTTTCATGGCTGACACAGATTTTCTTCAAATTTGTAGTTATTATTAATGGTCTGGCTGCTGTATAGACCGTACGTTTTTGATATGGTACAAAAAAAAAAAACAAAATTTACCGTTAATGAATAATAAAGAAGTTACAAATAATAAAGGATTAATTGCATTAGAGGTTCTCAAAATATGAAATTTGTCTTATTTTACTCCCTAATATTTTAATTGTATCATTTTTATTTCTNACAAAATTTACCGTTAATGAATAATAAAGAAGTTACAAATAATAAAGGATTAATTGTATTAGAGGTTTTTAAAATATGAAATTTGTCTTATTTTAGCCTCTAATATTTTAATTGTATCATTTTTATTTCTGAAGTATTAAATATGTTTATATATAGTCCTTTAAGCAAATAACGTTCAAATTACTAACAATTTTTTGTCATAAATTTGTCATATAATAGTTAAATATTGATAAAAAATAATTTTGATAACTCTTAAATAAAATTTGGGTAGCCCTTAACCAAAAAATTTGTAATATATGTAACTTTTGACCAAAATTTGGATAGCTCGTGATCAAAACTGTGTAATTTATGTAGGTATTTAACCAAAATTTGAATAAAAATTTGATCAAGAGTTATTCAAATTATTTTTTTTATTCATATTNATTTTACTCCCTAATATTTTAATTGTATCATTTTTATTTCTGAAGTATTAAATATGTTTATATATAGTCCTTTAAGCAAATAACGTTCAAATTACTAACAATTTTTTGTCATAAATTTGTCATATAATAGTTAAATATTGATAAAAAATAATTTTGATAGCTCTTAAATAAAATTTGGGTAGCCCTTAACCAAAAAATTTGTAATATATGTAACTTTTGACCAAAATTTGGATAGCTCGTGATCAAAACTGTGTAATTTATGTAGGTATTTAACCAAAATTTGAATAAAAATTTGATCAAGAGTTATTCAAATTATTTTTTTTATCCATATTTAAGTATCATGTGACAACTTTATGATAAAAAATCGTTAGCAATCTAGACACTGTTTGCATGAAAGACCATATAAAAACATATTCAATACTTCAGGGACCAAAATGGTGTAATTAAAATATTTAAGACTAAAATGAGACACACTTCATAGTTTGGGAACTTCCAATACAATTAACCCAAAAATAAAATACTTAGAGAAGGACAAAAAAGAAGGAGAAAGAAGAAGATAGAGTTGCAAAGTTATTTTTCTCTCTATGAACCATTCAAGAGATTATAAATTATTAAGTAAGTTGAGATTATAATAAGCTTAAATTTAATAAAACAAATACACTTAAAACTTCTTTTAGAATAAGATTATCATGTCAATGAACCAGAGAGGAGTAAGGTTCCAGTCAGGGTAATTGGGGTTTGGTCAATAAGAATACCAATTGTATACAAGAATATCACTTTTTTGACAACCAGTTGGATCACAGCTACCACGAGACATGCCTTTTTTATAACTTAGTGGATCGGAATAACCACCCCACATGTCTTTTTCACAACATGGTAGATCGCAACAATCTATGTCATTATCGAAAGAGGATGACCATTGCACTCCCTTTGTAAACAAGAGTATCTTCAACTATCAGGTTCATATAACACTATTTGGATGTTTATATTATTTTTTTTCCTATGAACTCATTTCTTGTTATTTTAGTATGGAATGTCAAGCTTTGATTCTACCATTCAATCACAGTACATCAACACTAATTTCAATAATATGGAGGTAATTACAAAAATTACAAATTTTATTTTTTCACTATTTTCATCTAACCATTAATTTATGCTATCACAGTGGGCACCAAGATCATGAAGCAAAATGGGTTGATGAAGATTACCACTTTTGAGGGAAAGATTACCACTTTTGAAAGAAAGATTACTACTTTTTTCATTAACATTACCATTTTTTTAGGTTAGAGTACAACTTACTTGGGCTTAGAATACAATTTTTTTAGGTGTAAGAATGCAACTTTTGGGGTGTAGCATTATCACTTTTATTTTGTAAGAATACCACTTTTTTGAATAAGGTTACCAATTAGTTGAAGCAAGATTACCATTTTTCAGTGAAGATTACCACTTTTGAGGAAAAGATTACCACTTTTTTTATTAATATTACCATTNATAAAATACTTAGAGAAGGACAAAAAAGAAGGAGAAAGAAGAAGATAGAGTTGCAAAGTTATTTTTCTCTCTATGAACCATTCAAGAGATTATAAATTATTAAGTAAGTTGAGATTATAATAAGCTTAAATTTAATAAAACAAATACACTTAAAACTTCTTTTAGAATAAGATTATCATGTCAATGAACCAGAGAGGAGTAAGGTTCCAGTCAGGGTAATTGGGGTTTGGTCAATAAGAATACCAATTGTATACAAGAATATCACTTTTTTGATAAGATTNTTATAATAAGCTTAAATTTAATAAAACAAATACACTTAAAACTTCTTTTAGAATAAGATTATCATGTCAATGAACCAGAGAGGAGTAAGGTTCCAGTCAGGGTAATTGGGGTTTGGTCAATAAGAATACCAATTGTATACAAGAATATCACTTTTTTGACAACCAGTTGGATCACAGCTACCACGAGACATGCCTTTTTTATAACTTAGTGGATCGGAATAACCACCCCACATGTCTTTTTCACAACATGGTAGATCGCAACAATCTATGTCATTATCGAAAGAGGATGACCATTGCACTCCCTTTGTAAACAAGAGTATCTTCAACTATCAGGTTCATATAACACTATTTGGATGTTTATATTATTTTTTTTCCTATGAACTCATTTCTTGTTATTTTAGTATGGAATGTCAAGCTTTGATTCTACCATTCAATCACAGTACATCAACACTAATTTCAATAATATGGAGGTAATTACAAAAATTACAAATTTTATCTTTTCACTATTTTCATCTAACCATTAATTTATGCTATCACAGTGGGCACCAAGATCATGAAGCAAAATGGGTTGATGAAGATTACCACTTTTGAGGGAAAGATTACCACTTTTGAAAGAAAGATTACTACTTTTTTCATTAACATTACCATTTTTTTAGGTTAGAGTACAACTTACTTGGGCTTAGAATACAATTTTTTTAGGTGTAAGAATGCAACTTTTGGGGTGTAGCATTATCACTTTTATTTTGTAAGAATACCACTTTTTTGAATAAGGTTACCAATTAGTTGAAGCAAGATTACCATTTTTCAGTGAAGATTACCACTTTTGAGGAAAAGATTACCACTTTTTTTATTAATATTACCATTTTTTTTTTGTTAGAATACAACTTCATTGAGCTTAGAATACAACTTTTTTGGGTGTAAGAATACAAATTTTTGAGTGTAGTAACATTATCACTTAATTTTGTAAGAATACCACTTTTTTGAATAAGATTACCATTTATTTGAGACAAGATTATCACTTTTTTTTGGGTAAGATTACTATTTTTAGGGAAGATTACCACTTTTGAGGGAAATATTACCATTTTTTGGATTATAATACAACTTGCTTGGGCTAAGAATATAACTTTTTTGGGTGTAAGAATATAACTTTTCAGGTGTAACATTATCACTTTTATTTTGTAAGAATATTACTTTTTTGAATAAGGTTACTATTTATTTAAGGCAAGATTATCACTTTTTTTAGTAAGGTTACCATTTTTAGGGAGGATTACCACTTTTGAGGAAAAGATTACCATTTTTTTGATTAACATTATCATTTTTTGGGTTAGAATATAATTTGCTTGGCTTAGAATACAACTTTTTTAAGTGTAACAATACTGATAATAGATTACAACTCTTGGTAATAATACCACTTTTGGGAGTAAGTTACCACGTTTTTAATAAAATTACCACCAAGTTACCAATGTTTGCCCTAACGTTAGCACTGATTGGGTAAGAACTCAACTATTTGGGTATAATTAACACAAATTACTACTGATTGGGTAAGAATTTATATTACTACTAAATTATCACAACCATTTGCTCATCACAACCATTACCAACCATTTGTTCATCAAAGCCATTACCAAGCTCATTTTATATATAAAGAACAAAGATATTTTATATTTTTGACAAAAATATATCATATTGCATTAATTTGTTTCATCACATTTCACTAGTGTTGGTTCAACTATTGTATCAACAACCAAATTACATATAATTGTCACTTCCTATCTATTTTGTTGTTTTTCATAAAAAAATGACTTAATTTTATTCATCCTACTATCGATCACCTTCAGAGACTCCTTTATTTCATCTTAAGTGTTTTGAAATTGCTCCATCTTTCGAATCATTTATACAAGTAAATGTCCAACTATAGTCAATAGAGGAACACCACATTAGGAAGAATTTGGGTCATCATAGGCTTCAACTTCATTCTCAGCTTCAACTTCATCCTCAGCTTCAACTTCATTCTCGATTTCAACTTATGGTTGTTGTGGCTGCTGAGTTTTCTTCTTCTTCGCTTGCCCCAAACTCTTCTTTATTGTCCCACCATAAATCGGATTCATGGAAGTGGAATAAGTGTCGCTTGAGTGAATCACAATTCCACAATCCTTCATAATATTTGAAATCAAAATTAGGAATTGGAGACTTCGCCTACTATCATTCATATGTTGTACCGAAATAATTTCATCAACTATTAAACATGGTAGATCGATACATATACCCTTTCTAATGGCATAAAGGAGATGAGCTTGATCAATTCCAAAATCAGCAATATGTCCACTTGGAATAATATTACACCCCACTATAAGGTTTAACATCCTATATTTGGGAGTAAGGTCTTGCTGATAAAATAGTGGATTGTCAACACTCTCATCATAATTATTAAATATACCCTCAATTTCTGCTTAAATATCTTCCAACTGAGGTATATCTTTAGAATTCTTCAATGGATAGGTAAGTGTATCGTTAGTAATGAAGGACGGCGGACTCCCAATATTTTTTAAACTAAATTTGGGGTTA